ACTAAAGTAATTATAAAAAATAAATGTACCAGTATTTCACTTAAAAATAACAATTATGATAGAGCAGTGGGGAAGGGGTGGAGCTAATCAACAATTCGTATTTTCAAAATGGTACAGCAAAAAAACAATACTGTTTCAGGGTTTTTTGCATATTGTTATTTAAAAACGTGATAATCGAATAAAGATGTTACTTTCTCTCATGAATTTTTTCCACATTTACTGTTTTATACTAATTGAAATTCTAGCTTCTATTAGTAATGAGCATAATTTTCACCAGTGATCTAAGGGAGATCTTTACTTCTGTCTCAGGAGCACAACAGAATGAAGATATGTGGTATCTTTCTAGAAAGGTTGGTCTCTTCCATAACAATACTCATACAAATGCTTCTTTTTGCATGCATCTTGCATGCTGGCCTCAATATATTTCACCTGTCCTGGAGATCATCACTAAGGTAGTCAGAGCTACTTGAGGAGTAGGAGAGAGACAGGGTGACTTCTGACGGGCTTACTTTCCAATTGTGATCTGTGCCTTCCTAGTCAAGTATTCTAACTTTATTTTGGCTTGAGAGCTTTCTTTACCCTTAAAGATCTTTTCATTCCCAGAGGGATTCTGTTTCCTTTTACCCTAGTCTTCCTTAAACAAAATAACAAGGGACTGTGAAAGGGAAGGAGCTTTAGAGGCCACTCGGTTTCAACCCCTCACCCACTGCAGATTTTTAGATCTTCCAAATATTCAAAGGCATGTATCATATTCTCTTAAGTCTTTATCTTTCAAGCTAACAATAACCTCAAAAAAAAAAAAAAAGTCAGGATAAGATAAAAAGGGGACCATTAAACTAATCCTACGACTGAAATCCCCTAATTGCATCGTTTCATGTTAAAATAAAGAGGATTTATTTAACTAAAATGTCCTACACATAAACAATACTTTCTTTTTCAAGCATTGAGAAATGTAACAACATTTTTAAGTCTAAAGAAAATATAATTTTAAAAGTAAAAGTAATTTGATCACTTAACCACTCCAAATATAGACATAGAAAAATGTTCCACTATAAGAATGGCACTATTTTCCTGAAACATAAATGACACTTGGACATGTGTAAATATGGATCTGACTTCTTAGATAATGAAAGATCAGGTTATAATCAAAATGCTAAATGCAAATTTATAGCCTTTTGAAAGCTGTTTATTTTGACTTTAGAGCCTTATAAACTAAAATTAAAAAATAAAATATTGCAGTATACACCTTTATAAAATAAATGATAATTTTCCTCAAAGAATTATTAGAGAAACAAGAATAAAGATTAACAAAATCAGAGTTAGTGAGAAAGTTTTGGTTCTTAAATAATTCTTGAAAAGAATTTTTAAAAGTAACTATAAAAATAACATTGTTCTTCTCTAAGATGGATCCAAATCAGAGATTCTATAATATTTATATTAACATTATTTCATCATTCTCATCAAATAATAAAATATACAAGCTCTTTAGTTCTAAATGTCTTATAATATTAAAATAGCATATACTCTCGAAGAAATAAAATATTTAAAATCATATGAATACAAAAGAGAAAAAAAAGTTTACCATATAATGCCAAGATGTATAACTTAAAGGATAAACTTATATATAAATAAAATTAAGTGTTTGGTACTTTACCACAGGAAAATGGTTAGAGAGATTGCCACCATTATTTTAAATACACGTACAGGAGAGCCTGAATCAACACCCAGCTACATGGCTGCAGGTGAAACTCAGTCCATAGGTAAAAACCATCACCTGAAAGGCCAGCTGATAAAATAAAATAGCATAAAAACTGCCTCTAGACAGTAAGTTAGTAAGCACAAGCAAATCATGAGTCACTTATAAATCATTGTCAATAAAAAAGAAAGGCAAAAACATTGAATGGAGTAGAACACAGAAATGTTAATATCAAAAAGAAAACGTGAAAGTGCTTAGAAAATAATTTTTCATGCTAATTATCATAGTGCCTTGCACAGTTTTTGCCATGGAGTTTAGCAGCATGTCAAGATAATTTACCAAACAACTGCAAACATAGAAATCCTCTTTCCATGGATTATCAGTTGTATGACAATATTTACCTTTATGAGCCTCATTTTCCTCATATTTTAAAATTTAAATAATATGAAGGGTTGTTCAGAAGATTAAATGAACTCACATGTAAAGCCTTACAAAAGATAACAAGCAGTAATTATTATTTTTGATGTTCAAGTAATATTCTCTCCATATATATTATAAATATAAGTATAAACGTACATATGTGTAGATAGATAATTTATAGATAATTCAGGGAAGAACAATAAATTCTCAACTTACTAGAAAAATCAGAGGCAATTAAAGAATCAGTAGGTCCAAATTACCTTAGCTAGTTGAGAACATGGTAGATATATGCATAAACAGACAGGACATTAGGTCATTAAGACAAATATACAAACCCTCTCAAAAAATCGAAGAGGAGGAAACACTCCCAAACTCATTTTAAGAGGCCAGCATTACCCTGATAACAGAGCCAGATATAGCTGTTACACGAAAAGGAAACTACAGGACAATACCCCTGATGAACACAGATGCAAAATTCTCAACAAAATATTAGCAAACTGACTTTGACAACATATTAAAGGGAGCGTGACCAAGCAGGATTTATCCCTGGGATGCAAAGATGATTCAACATATGCAAATCAATAAATGTGATATGCCATATTAATAGAATGAAAGATAAAAATCATATGATCATTTCTATAGATGTAGAAAAAGCATTTGACAAAATTCAACATTCTTTCATGATAAAAACTCTCAACGAAATGAAGATAGAAGAAATATACCTTAACATAATTAAGGCCATATACGCCAAAATATAGAAGCAAACTAAGTGTCCATCTGCAGATGAATGGATAAAAAGATGTGTGAGATAGACACATACATACACAGGAATATTATTCAATCATGAGAAAGAAACCCTGCCAATTGCAACAACATAGACGAAACTTGAAGGCATTGTGGTAAGTGAAATAAGTCAGATGGAAAGACTATATAATATCATTTACATGTGAAATCTAAAAACAAAACTGAACTTGTAGTAGCAGAGTATTATGGTGATTAACAGGGTGGAGAATAGGGAAAAAGAAGAGATGGTGGTTAAGTGGTATAAACTTCCAATTAAAAAATGAATAAATTCTGGGAGTCAAATGTACAGCATTGTGATTATAGTTGGCAATAATATATACTTAAAAGTTGTTGAGGGAGTAAATCTTAAATGTTTTCACAACTAAAAAGTAATGCTAATTATGTGATGTGATGGAGATATTAGCTAATGCTAGAGTAGTAATCATTTCCCAATATATGTGTGTCAAATCAACACACTGTACATCTTAAACTTACACAATGTTAGATGTTAATTATATCTCAGTAACAAAAAGACAAGCATACATATAAGGCCTGGTTAAGATATATCAATAGATTACAAAAAAGGAATTATAAACAAAAACTTTCAAATTTGCATTGTGCAGTCTTCAAATGAGAAAGCTGTAGCATAGTTTAGAGAAAAGTAAAACACTACACTAAAGTAGAATTATCATACAGAGGATTCAGAGCAGTATTTTGGAATGAGCTATTTCCATCATGTTCTTTCAGGCAGTAGAGCACTATCATAGAGTAAGGGCTCAGGAGTCAGACCGGAGTCTGAATCCTGGCTTTTACTCTGTAATCTTGAGTAAATTTCTTAATATCTTTATGCCTCAGTTTCCTCAGTGTACAATACAGATAATAAATACTGGTACCTATCTTGTTGGGTGGATTAGATGAGATAATGAAGGATTAAATGAGATGATGCATATCAATGTCTGACTCAATAAAGTTAGCTCTTGTTGCTTCAGGAATGTCTTTTCCATAGTTTTGGGCAAAATACAGACTTGGTGAGCATAAAGATACAGATGTATACTAAAAGACAGTATAATATATAACCCATTCAAGCTAATCTATATTTTATTCAAATAGGATTCTAAAGTATTAATATCTAATAATAATTAATTATATTAATAAGTAATAATACTTATTAATAATTTATTTACATTTCATGAATGGATATGAATTTTTTATTTTTATTATTATTATTATTATTATTATTATTAGTTTGCCCATCTTGAAATGTATTCCCTTAATACATAAAATTTTGTCATTAGGTCAAATATGAGTAGAAAATAATGTTGATCAATTTGGAGTTATGTAGCAGTCCTCATATAGCATTAGCAGCAATTATTTAGTTTTCTTTCCCTTACCTCAAACATGGTCTGCTAAATGACTTGCTTTTGGTAGGTGCTCAATAAAGCTGAACTGAATCTATTTTCAGGTAGCCCACCCAAACAGTACTGTTTGAAAGTGACAAGCATTTAAATCTACACTTTCGGAAAAGGTCCAACAGTATAATAGTTGAGAACATAGGTCTTGAAGACTTAAAGACCTCCATATGAATCCTGACTCTGTACAACACAATCCAGGGCAAGTTAATCTAAGCTGCTTTCTTTGTTTATGAAATTAAGATAATAAGGAATGTGACGTACTTAGCACAGTGCCTGTCATATAGAAGGTATTCATTTAGCAAGTGATTTATATCGAAGTTCAGATGAAGGAGCTTGAGAAAGAACAGTGCACCTGGACTTGGGAAATGCTTCAAATTTTGGTGTTAAAGCCGACACGCAAAGTTTTCTCTCACGAATGGGAAAACACCTCAATATCAGCCCTAAAGACTCCATAGCAACTTACACATATTTTCAACCATATGGATCTTTTCTTGTTATAAATTATATTTAGCACATATAAAACTTTCATATTGAAAACATTTTATAAGTAAGTAGGAGTTTTTTTAGAGGATATAAAAATTATAGAAAATAAGTACACTCATGTAATGCATTTAAAATTTAGGTATTAACAATTAAAATGAAAATCTTTTTGCTTTGAGCAAAATTGTAATGTTCCTAAATTAACCTACTTTGTGTTCTGCCATAACCTAAAATTGGCTGATGCAGCTCTGTTCTTTGATGTGATACAGCTTCTGGAGGAAAATAAAAATTTTAAGAGAAAACATTAAATTATTTGAAAATTCATATATCAGAGTAATTTGATATTCTGGCATTTTATTAAGGAAAGTAACTAAAAATATAGTGAGCTATGGAAACTTTTATAAAGTGATCATAAATTCAAAGATAGCAATTTACCAAATGATAATTTTCAAATACTTAAAAAATAACTTATAAACCTACTTAGAAATATACCTGAGTTTAATGTAAAAGCATGACTAATCATAAGTTTCAAGATAATTATAGTTTTTTACCTTGATTTTTCTCCACTGGTGGGAAATTAAAATGATGACAAGAAATAGTTTATTATATCACAATAGTTTCTTTCCTTTTTCCTTTATCTTTTGAATAAAATTAGAGATTTTTAAATCATCTTTTATTTGTATATATTCTTATAGAAATAATATTAGAGGAACTTTTAAATCGGCTATAGTTAAAATGCTATGATTCTAACTAATTGTAATATAGAATTTTATAATTAATATTTCATAATAGCTCTTTGGAAGTGTCTGACTAAAATATTATATTTTTAAACTTCCAATTTTAGGTAACGGAAATTTCAACAAATTTTCAACATTTCTTTTCACTTAATATTTCAGCTTTGAAAGATACAAAGTATTGAAAATTATACTTTTCTAATTTATATATATAAATATAGCTGAATACATATGTGTGTTTATATGTATATACACACATACAGTTTCAGTTTCACTAAATAATTTATGCAATCAAAAAAACAAACTCCAATTGGCAATATTTTTGATTTACACTTCCATTATCTTTAATAATTTAAATAACTGGAAAGAAAACACTTCTATTACTAACAGAAAAAGGAATTCATAAGAGAAATTGTGTACTGTAAAATTTTACAACATTTATTTTCAAGTTTGTAATTAGGTTTAACCAAATAGAGAAATGTTAGAAAATTAAAGATCAAAAGGTTTAAAGTTAAACTGAACAAATTTTTAAAATCACTAACCCAAAGCATGCACTGCTCCTCTATGCCTGCTGGAGCTCTTGCTTGTTTTAATCACTCGGACAGCACTTTCTTTGAACGGCAGCGCACAAAAATTTGCAAGAAATTTTGCCATTTCTTCTGTAACAGTATCCAGGTAAGTTTCTTTAATGAATTTCACTGCTGAGGATGGAGGTAAAATTTCATGCAGTGTGTTAAAATCCTCTTTTATCATTGAGTCTAACTTAAGCATTGCACTTTGGTATTCATGAACCAGCATGTCTAAATTTGATTCTCTTCTGTAAGAAGGAAAGCAGTTCTGCAGAAGTTTAGCCAACAGTTTATTCTGTATATTTTGATACTTGATTATAACTTCTGATTCTGAATAAAGAAACAAGAGTTGTTGTATGCACTGATTTTTCAACAAAATTTTTTGCCGTGAATTGTTTATTTCATTATGGCTTTGTAATTTGCTCACTAAGAAGCGTCGAAGATGTAGTCTTATATCATCCCATATAGTCTTTACATCCATGGAGGAATGATCTTCGACAGAATGAAGAGAAGTCCTCGAGAGGAAATGGAAAGATGTTCCACTTAGAGTTGATGGAAATGAAATGCAGCTCTGGCAGGAGAGGTCCCAAAGTAAATCCAATATCATTTCTTCTTGATTTTGTTCATTCTTCAAGAAATCTTGCTAATAAAAGTAAATTATAGTGTTAAGAATGTGATTAACTATAAGAGAAACAGGAAAAAATGATTTCTATAGTCATATACAACTTCATAATAATTCATTTCAAATTAGAATCAATACTCTGGTGCTCTTCATGATTTATTTTGCATTTGAAATTTAATCAATTCAGACAGTTTAGAATGTTAGCTTTATAATCTGTTAAATTTTGCAAAACCCAGGTGATGAACTATATTTTCAATCAGAATTCTAGACATAGTTTTTAGCCTTCATTCTTACCTACCTCAATTAACCTAGGCTGTATAAAAACTGTAGCTTAAAAATCTGTAGTAAAACATCAATTAAAATGCATTCCTATGAGAAGATAAATTCAAGATTATATCCTAATTAATTCCTGGTAGATAATTTTTATGTTTGAATGAGTAAACATATTATTATAGAAGCCTAAATGAACATACAGAATGGAGACCTTTAAATAGGTACATGTGTAAGGGTTACTAATAGCTGCCATCCTAAGAAATAAAATTTAATACATTTAAAGACTTTAACTTTCATTTAAATTCCTTTTTTGAGAGTCATGTTAAGAAAGATTTTACTTTGGAAATTAATCAGAATATTTCAATTTTCTCCAAAGAAATAACTGACTCAAAATAGGGGAAAAAATACTCTCTGAATCATTTCCTAAATGACAATATGAAATTATTTCTTTATACTTTCCATGCTGACAGAAAACAATGAGAGGTATAATTATCAACAGTAAATAGACAAAAAATTACTTTCTTTTTGGACTTTGAATTTTACATGCACACTTTACATAGTGACTTTCCTAATTATGTCTATTTCAGCTAATACTAAAATTGGTTTATATTTTCTCAGTAGTAGCAAGCTGATTATAAGAAAAATGGAAGCAAGTTTCAGGTGGCATAAAAACAGGCTGAAATTTTTTACTGGTAGAGATATCACAGGTGTTAATGTGTGATTCAGAATTATGAACAACTTCTAGACAAATTCCAGGAATCTTTCAGTCACTCTAAGCCTTGCAATGTCTGATTTAATGTTTTATCTGTAATAAATAACATTCAAAATCTACATAATATTTTATTATATAAAAACACTTTTTTCATATAGTCTGGTTTATTTATAATGAAAATGCTGTGACATATTTAAAAACCCAACTTACAGATAAGGACGCTAAAGTATGGCATTTAAATTACTTTCCAAACGTCACATACAATAAAGCATAGAACACAGGATGGATCCCTGGCTTCATTCTCCTGGTCCTTATTCAATCTACTACACTCTAGAAAACCACAAAGTACATTGTCCTTTCTGAAGCTTCTCTCTCTTCTCCCTGTATTTCTTTCTTTTGTTACTTCTGGAAAGAAAATGTCCTTAGAGTCTAGAACATCAGTATAATAGTAAATTCTATAAAGCAAATGAGACGTATTAGTGCCTCAACCTTCGGTTTTTTTTAAGTCAATGACTGTAAATATTTGATCAAGCAAAGTATAATAGTTTACAGAAGTTTAAAATATGTGTCTAGTATGATTGCTTAAATTTTGAATATAACTTCAGGATAATTGCTGTAATGAGGACCTCATTTTCTTATTTAAACAGCTAGATAATTAATAAATAGAAAATTTTCTAGGGAAAAAAAGAGATGTATGAAAAATGCTGTCAGGGTTGACAATTTAAGCATGTAAAAACTTGATAATAAGGTCATTTTAATCTGGATCTGTTTTAATAATGTGGTTCTTTCCTCAAAATAACATGATCAATGATGTAAAAAAACCTAGGTCTCAAACAAGCCTATCAGTCTAATGAATCTGAGCAAAACTAAGGCGGCCTTTGCCCTGCAGTGAATAGAGAATGACTTATGTGTGACAGATTAAAAGATAATTAAAAGCTTTTGCTTTTAATTAAATGAGAGAGCATTATTACATCAATATTAATGAAATTCAATACACATGACTCTTAATAGAAATTAAAGGAATAACTATATCCATATTTATTCTTCAAGGCTCCACCTTCAAGAGATAATGGGTAAGAGGATTTTCTTGAAAGAATAAGGCTTTAGGGCATATAGTCTTCCTTTCTCTTCCTTTTATTACTTTATAAACATTAAAGAGACATCTGCAATAATAACGGCCCAAAACTATTTTCATCTGATTCTGTCAACCTAAGCCATCTACAACCTCAAGATATTTTCCACATCTGCCTTAGTCAATGTTTGATGTTTAGACAAAAATGGTGCCCCTTTTTCTACTAAATTAAATCAAAACCATAGCCACAGAAATACTCCTTTCTAACATTTGTGCTCTTTCTCTAGAAATCTGTTTTTGCAAGCTAACCACCTTTGTAGAAGTAATAAAATAACTGCTCTTATTAAAATCTACAAAAACTTATTTAACATAGAGTGTGGTCAGTATCAAGGAATGACCAATGTAATAATTCTCCATCAATTAACAGTGGTTTCGTATAAATTGCTGCCTTGATTGAAAAGAACTGGACATGCCTGCAGGTTGGGGATGAAAGGAATGATAGACAAGGCTACTTAAATAGATATAATCGATGGTGATTTTATTGTGCTTAATAATGAGAACAGAGAAAATGAGTAGTTGTGAAGGGACACAAAATGTAATAAAAATAAACCTTTCTGGTAGACAGTTGTGGTACATATCAATACAATTTGTGGTGTACATCATATCACAAATCACCCAGGAATTATGTTTAAATTCCATTTATATAATGTTTCATTTTATTGATAAACATCAGAGAAAAAAATAAAAACAAATAGCTCACTAGATTCCATTGGGGATATGGAAACAAAACAAAACACACACCACAGCTCCTAGATATGGTAGGCTAATATGGTTACTAAAATAAATATTTACATATAGAAATTGAATGATTTTTTTTACCAGTGTTTTGAGAAATTTTATCAAATCTCCATGGGGAATAGAAGGTGACTTGGATGAAGTGTAATTATAGTTATTTAGCCATTGAAAACAGTCAGTTGTTGTTTGCAGCTGCACATCTGGACATTGTTTGTTAGCTTCAGACTGTATTTCTTTAATGCAATGTTCTATGCTATAAAAAAGAAAGAAAATTATTTTGGTAGGAAGTTGGTAATACCTCCATCACATAATATCACAGGCCCTGCAATGTTTATATACCTGGTACCTGGTTGCATACAATTTAGAAAATTTTAAAACATGTCATATGATATGAAAATAACAAAGAGACTATATATTTTTATTTATAATTGAAATCAAAAGCTCAAATTTTCTGGAAGTTTCATTTCAAATGAAATAGAGGAAATATAAGGTATCTAGCTGCTCAGATATAAATTAGTTATTTTATGTTAAAATAAAAATCAAGCAAAGATGCAATGAAATAATGTTCCTCTTGATAGGCAGTGGATGGAAGGCAAAGATAAAATACTCTTGATGACTGAAGACCAGAAACGTATATTATCTACTACTAATAGGTAAGTGACTATATAAAATTATGGAAAACTTTAATCAATGGAATATTAAGAAGTCACAATGTAGATACAAAGAGCTTATAATTTTAGAAGTTGTAAAAGATATGTGCTGTATATACACCATTACTACAGCTAAGTACCTTTTCCTGCCATGAAACTCCATTCCAAAAACAAAAACATATTAAAAACTGCATATAAAAAAAGACTGGAAGGAAATGAAAAAAATGTTAATAGCAATTATCTTTGAGTGATAAAGTTTGGTGATTTATATTTTTCTGTATTTTCCAAATTTTGGAAGACATAAAGCTCTTTATTTACAATAAATAAAGGAACAAAGAAGTGAGAAAACATGCCAAATTGAATATTCCAACATATGTCTGTTTTTAAAATTCCATTTAAAATATCTTTAGCTCTGATATTAAAGATATACTATGTCTGTGCATTCATAATTATAAATCTTTGTAGGGTAAACTGGTGACCTTAAGCAGAATGTCATCTGTGCAGCCACATGGATATGACATATTACTACCACCTGATGGCAGCATATCTAAACTGCAAGAAAGCTTATAAACAAAATTCATTTGAAGTGAATCCCCTCACCCAAAATTCACAACTTTGCATTTGCCTCTTAACAGTATTAAGAAAGATCTGTTACTAAAATTGTTAATGTTTTGTTAATGTTTTGAAAATATCATTGCTATTAATTATAGATTCCATGTGATAGAACCAGGTAGGCTTTGGAAACCAAGCTCTGGTTATTAAATTGATGTCAGTATAAGAGCCTATTCAAAATTCATCAGGTGTGTGTTGCCTATAAAACATACACTGTAAAACTTTAAGAAAGGCTTTTCAGGAGACTTCTGAGCACGACTGAATTCAATCTGAATTACCCTGAAACAAATACATTCTGAGATCCAAAGAGCCTTTTCACGAAAACAAAGAATTTATAAGAAAAATAATACCTCCTTTGGCCACAGGCCATTCAATTTCCTGATGAGAGAGTCCTATTTAGGAATGTCAGTTCTAAAACTGGCATATATTTTCTTAAATTAAGTAAGCACTTCTATGGACTGAGAAACGTGATGCCCTCAGCATACACCTTGACTCTAGGGACCCTTTATCAAAGGCTTTTATTATAGCATCCTCATGTGTCTCATTCAATGAAATCTAATAGATTACAGCAGTGTGAATTGGAAAGGTTCAGTGGTTAGTATATCTAAATCTGTTTCAATGAGGACTCAGCTTTTAGTCTAATCTCTAACATCTGAATCTGGGTTGAGGCCAATAACTACAATTTATAAATAGGGTAGAGCCTTCAGAGGGCTAGATATTTTAGTAATCTGTCTAAACACTGATAAAGGGATTGAGTAGTTATATTTCAGAGGACCTCCCTCATTGATAGAAACTTAAGACAGTTGAGCTGGCTTTTAAAATCATGTTGTCACAAATTTAAAAATGTCAGAACTCATTATATGCACCTGATTTTGTTTTTAGTTGGCTAAATATCTTGTCATTCTGCCACTCACCACTGTCTATACATCTTGCTCTAAAGATGCAATTGTTTGAAGTCTAGAGATTTATTGCCTGATTATTATATGAGAAATATTTTCAAAATTTAAGATAAATGTCACTTTAGTATGTAATCTGACAATTTATCTTCCTTAATTGAGGTCAAAATTAAATTAAAAATTAATTTTCAACATGTAAAAGGTATATGTTAATAATATAAAAGTTACTTATTGAATAAAGGCATATTTAATAAATGTTAACTGAATGGTGAATATGTATTAGATACTGTGATGTAAGGATCCGAACATGAAAAAGACATGGTCCCATACCTAAAGGAATTCTGTTTAGTGAGAGATAGACATGTGAACAAATAACTATAGTACAGTAAAACTTGATCACAGGTGTATATAATGTGCTAGGCGAGTGCATAGGAGAGAGCCACTAAATGTGCCTGTGGAAAGTGTAGAAAGGTTTTCCTTTGTAAAAGATTATATGCAAGGGTATTGATGCATTAAGAAAATTAATGGAATCATTGTACTTAGAATTCCCTGACACCTGGCCCCTGAGAATCCAGTGCTGATCGTGTAATCTGACTGCAAGGTCACTTTAGAACTATATTTCTTTAGGAAATAATAAAAAGCATGAATTTATTTTTATGGTCACAACTACATTTATGCTCATATGTATATGTGTATGTATATATGCACTATCATACTTCCAAAAGGATTGAGATGTCCTACAATTAAACAGACATCATTAAAAAAACAATAGCACAAGAGCCTATTATGGACTGGTGTAGTTGAGGATAGAAAGAGCCACAAAATAGTTAAAGGGAAATAAGAGCTATGTTCCACTGGCTAAAATTAAGAAAACTTTTTTGGTGTAAAGGTTGTGGAAAACATACATTTGTGCTTTCATAGGTGGTTAGAATTTTTGTTTTTATTTTTTAAATCAAGGTAGCAGTGTCATGGCAGAGATTAAAAACTATTTCTAAAGACTATTTTAAAGACTATGGTATGGAAAATTTAAACATTAAAAATATTTTTTAAAAATTTTACATTTTGATGCTCTTGTTTATACTTCTTACTCATAACATAAATTCAGTCTAAGCAAAAGGCTTTTTCAATTCTATCTCATGTTAAAAAGCACAAAGAAATAGTTGTGAGGTAAATAGAGTTTTCTGGGTTTTAGTTAAGTCTAGCTTATCTAACTAGATTACTAAAATTCCTTGGAATCAACAAGTAATTAATAGAGAAGACCGTGTATAAAAACAAGTGTGTAATTAAACTATAAGTTGTGAAATAAAAATTCATTTTCCTGAGACAAAGATATTTCTGAATATTATTTTTTTTAAAGATTGAGAAAAGGATTCACAAAACTATTTCAATGGCTAAAAAGTACAGTAAGAAATTAAACATTTATGCTGAACTGTTTTCAATTTCAGAGAGGTTTTGGCTATTACAAAATGTTTAACTATACTTTCCTCGACACCAAATCCTGTTAACACCATCTCCTTAAATATTTTTCAAATATATCCTCCTCTTCCATTCCTATCCTGAAAACTGGGCTCAGATTCTAATCTCTCATCTGGACTATATTAAGAGCCTCCCAAGATTCTATTGTTAACCTTCCTTCCTTTTATTCAGAGTTATCCTATAAGGAACATAGTATGAAAGAAACTTCAGAGTTAGGACCTTTTGTAATTTGCTGTTTTACACTGCCCATCCTTACCACTCAAGTTTAGAGAAGCTCTTAAATAATCCAGATTGTTTTAAGAAGGTTCAGAACCAGTGGATGGCTATACCAACGTACAAAATCTAAAGCACTTTCAAAAGAGTCAACCATTTGCAAAATACACCCAAAATTTCCAGTCAGTGGCAGAGTAGCCCTGGCAGTACCAGGTGAGCTGGAACTGAACAGACTCAGCCTAGCATTATATCCCAAGACATAGTTAGATTTCTTCTTCTCCCTCTTAAATTTACATCTGGCTTGAGATTACTTTTCATAGACTGTACTTCTGGAAGCTAAATAGATGTGACACAGGGTTACGTTAACAATATAAATAGAAATTTCCAGAAGTGTTCTATAGGGATATAAGAATATGGCAGTTTAATACTCATGACAGGCAAGAATAGTTACTGTTTCTTCTTTTTTACCAATGGAGACTTGTACAGGACTTTCAGCACAATTACTAAAGTCAGAATGTGGTCCCAATGGTACCCTAATGAAACCAGACAAGCTGTTATCAGGAGGAGAAAAGTAGGGAATCTGCATTAACTAGCATTAACTCTTTACCAACAGTTCCCTTGATTCTCTTTCTGAAAAAAAAAAGAGAAAGAAAGAAAAGAGAGGGAGAACATGTGTGATAAGGAGACTCAGAAGAGATCTGAGAACGCTTCTTGTCTACATTTGCATCTGCACTGCCTGGATAAATTCAATCACTAGGCCAGAAAACAGATTTGATTGGAAGTTGCAAACTGAGGGTTTTAATACTAGCTATGGTCACATTGTAAGGCAGTAGGACATACAGCACGCATTCTCATATACTGCCTATGGGAGAAAAGACAATGGCAGCACCGCTGCAGAACAATTTTACAAGAGCTAATTGTACAACTTCTATGAGACTCCCATAGAGATCAGTGCTCATAAGGAGAGAAGTACACACACGTGTGTACAGTAATGGCAGAAAGACTGTAAATCATGTAACTGCTCAACAAGAGGGCATTAGTTTAATAAACTGTTATATGTGTGTGTGTGTGTGTGTGTGTGTGTGTGTGTGTGTGTGTATGGAATTAAAAATAATAAAATAGAATTATAGGAGAGAATTTTAAAATATTTTAAGTAAAGAAAATCTAATTATAGTACATACATATAATTCCCATTTGGGTAAAAATGTATTTTTGGGTGCATGTCTGTATATGTAGAGAGTATTTCTGGATAGTTATGCAATAATGTATCAACGTAGATTGTCTCTGAAGAACAAGACTAGCAGGGGCAGAGGAGTAGGGAATATTTCCCTCATCTCTGTCCTTATGCGCTCAACTTTTCCTTATATCTGCTTTTCTCTACAGTCTGAACTTTGCCATGAGTATAT